TAGGAAAAGTGAAGGATGAGGAAAAATCAGATATTTGTCAAGGTCTGTTTAGCTAAAATTGAGAAGAAACACAGTCAACAATTGTGGCTATCAATAGAAAAACCACAGCGTAAATATCAATTAGTCATTGACAGTAGCGAAACCAGATAACGAACAGTCAACAACTAGTTTAAGTGTGAAATAGAGGGTGCAAAAATGAACATTATTTGGCCATCCTCTCTTTTAATAGAGTAGTGAAATAAATGAGGTTTACTCGTCTCATAGTAGTTGGCCTTCCATTCAAATTGATTTATTACATACTTCTGCTTTGTGATAAGATACATTGTATAATTTTATTAAAACTAGTTTTCGATCATCTTTTTGTAGTTAAAAATTATATTCTCAAAAAGATTTTATTATACTCGAAACCTTAAATCCATGTGTAGAAGACCAATTAAATCATAGATTATGCTAGTGGTAAATCAAAAGATGTACCTAAGGGGTTACCCCCCGCCCCCGCCCCCACATGGGGGGGACCCACTTGCATAAAATATTTTTTTATTTAGAGTAATGCTATTCATAATCGCTCACTGCAACAGTCGTCATATGTGGCACACACATGACATGTAATTATTTGATTCATTAATGTGGTAGTTTTTTGACTATATTAATGCATTAAATACACACTGACATGTGTGTGTGTCACATAGGACGACTGCTACAGTGAACGACCGCGAATATCATTATTCTTAGTGAATTGTCTAAAAATAACTTAAGCATAATTTATTCTAAATGCTCATAGTACAATTGCTTAAATATGGAGGATACAATTCTATATCAGGTGCATAAATAAATCGTTACTATCGCATTTATAGAACCCATAATCTCGAATTGTATTCCTTCTTCCATTGCTCCTTCTACCATACAATACTAATAAAAAAATTTCTTCCATTTCATTCATAAACAATAAACATATTAAAAAAAATAAAAATAATTATAAACAATAAAATAGCTTATATAAATACGAACAAAAAATATAAAAAATAACAAAAAAATTCTTATGAAATGTGCAAAGCATTAATTCACAAAATCTCTTTTATCTCACCATTAAATAATAAACATGTCCAAAAGAAAAATAACTCAAAAAAATAATAATAATTGCCAAAACATAAAATCATGAATCTATCAAACAACATAAATGTGAACAAAAAAGTATAAAATAATGAAAAGTTGCATATTAATCAATTGCAGAAAATTAACCTAGGTCATATGAATCCATAGATTTTCGATGTTTAAGCCTTTCCCCTTTAGAGAAAGAGAAGGGAGAAAAGAGTGAAACTGAAAGTGTGAAAAATCAGGACAAGTGGATTTGCTGTTGCTGCATTTGAAACTCTACAAATATTCAGAACAGGAATTAAAACTCCTCTAAGAATATCCAAGAGACTCTTTGTTGGTGAAATTTTAATAATAAAAAATGAAGTTACAAAATGAATAGAAATATAACGAAATCGGATGGCCTGATGCGCAGATATTTCGCTCTCTTTGAGGAGATTCAAGCTCTTTGCAGTTGGCAAAATCTAAAACATGGTGTAGTAGAACTTCTCCATGATTTGTCCCCTACGACAATCCTACTATTCGTCGTATGGCTCAAACAAACTCTACTATTCGGCTAAGCCATTTTTGGTTTTTTTTTTTTCTTCTTCTTCTTTCCGTTTTACGTTTGATTAGTTTTGG